GGTTGCTTTCCTCAGAAGGTGGCTCTGGGTGTTGATTGGCTTTTTCATTGTGTGAGATGTCCTATACTTACTTAATATCTCAGTTAATCATAAATGGAGAGGTTATTGGTGGTAATGATAACAGCCTCAGCTATCACTGAGTATTTTCCATATACAGGAACTTTGTTAAGTATCTTGCATGTAGTAGTTCATGAGCTGTATGATACATTTTATTGATGAAGATACTGAGTCATGTCGAAATATGAAGTACTTTGTTCAGCTTACAGCTTTTCATTAGTGGAACTGGGATTTGGATACAAGTAGTCAGCTTTCCAAACAGTAAAGGCTTACAATGAATGTATAGCATAACATTTTAGAGCTGCAAGTGATTGGGGCCATCATTTATCACATTTCCCCTATTTTAGAGATGAGAAAATTAAGAGTTTGGGTGATTTGCCTAAGGTCACAGACTAGACATTTTCAGGAACCCAGAGTTCCTAATTCCTAGACCATACTCTTTCTACTACTCAATGAATACCTAAGACCTAAGACATACAAGGTTTTGAGTCTAAATCTCGAAATTCCAACCTATTGTTAGCAGATATAGTAAGTTAGTAGGATATAAAGTTGTACACAATCATCCATGTGGGCTTTGTGTTATTAGATTACTGTTTGCCTCGAAGATGGTATATATACAGAGAATAAGAAGCAAGAGACTGAGGTTGATTTCCCACCAGAATTGTTTATTGAATTAATCTCATCATGTCTAACTGAAGGTGACAGTACTTTCTACCAGTTGGAATCTTCCTGTGAGGTTATATGTGGTAACAATTGAGTAATGTCCAATTTAATGCATGGTGGAGGAAATCAGTTGACATACAGTGAAAGTGCACTATGGTAGAGGGTTTGGTAAAGAAACTTGGATTCAAGATATAAAAAAGCTGATTATGCTAGATATAAAATTTTTACTTATTCTCTTTTTTTTAAAAAAAAACATTTTTGTAATGCATCTTGGCTTTTAATGAACTAGGACTGTGAAGTTAAGTGGCTTACTAAAGCCTTTGCAGAATAGCCTTGGATTAACTAAATAACATGAAGATAGAACTTTGTGCACAAACTGATCCAAATAGGATATTTAAATTCTAAAGAATGTCTTTACTTGCTTCTTGAATGTTAATAATATACAGGAGCCTAGCATATTCCTCTAAGTCAATAAAATAAGACTTTCTCAGAATGTTTTCCTTGTTAAAAATGCAAATTCTCAGGCACCATCCCAGACATCAGGGTACATTCACAGTGGTGCTCAGCAGTCTGGGTTTTAACCAGGTGCTTCAGGTGATTCCAGTGTGTGCTAAGTTTGAGAACCGCTGCCATAGGAGCAACCAAGTTATCAGTTAAAACAATTTCATCTTGATTATGTTGAGCAGGAAGCACAATATTTTCCTGTCAGAGTTTTGGAATCATTAGTAAACATTCAGCTCAACCACTGTTTTCTTGGTAAAGTTGTGATTGTGGTAAACTTTAGTATATTTTATGGGAAGAGTATATATAGGCATTGCAAAATCATGGCTTCATATTTTGTTTCAGAAATATACTGATTGACTTTGAGGAACTTTCTTGACCTTCTTAAAGCCATAGCTTTTTTCTCTGAAAAATGAAACAATACTGTCCACCAGGGAGGATTGGAAATAATATAAATAAGTGCTGGATACTTAATAGGAATTAAAAGATCATTATTAATATTCGGCTTTCTTGTTTTCTCCGTTTAGATACTACAGCTTCCTTAACTCTATATTTATTAAAACTGATTTGAAAAGTTAATTATGTGGTAATTCAGAGATCATTTCTTTATCTACCTAAATCATTCTTGACATATCTCGTACATATTGTGTTGCTTCATCACCTAATACTACATTAGAAGAAATTCCAGACCAACTAGATACAGACTTATTTCACTTGAGACAATGATTTTGTCAAAGTGCCAGTTAACTGTCAGCCTGGATTAAACTTTTCTAAAATCTGGAAGGAAACAAGTGTGTTTTAGTTATTGTAGTCAAAAGTAGAAAATTGAAAGGATGATTTCATTCTGGGTCTCTTCGGAATTAAGTTAGACCTTACATAGGATTTATTTTAATTTTATTTTATATAGGATTTTTAAAAAAGAGAATGTAATGTGAATTTTAGGACACTTGGTGATTGAATATGCATATTTATAAAATGAGAGTTGGACTCATTGGACTCAGTGTACTTCCGTAGCATTGAGAGAATAATGATGGCATGTTGGCTAAGCGGGATTCATCCTTCTGCATCTACATTTTGCTCCTCCTTTTTTTCTTTTTGAATTAATTTTCTTCTATAATTATGAAAAAACATTTTCATGGTTCCAATGAAGTACTATAAAACAAGGTACATTTAGAGGTCTAGCTTCCAAGTCTATGCTCTCTTCTCCCTGTTCTCTTCCTCTCCCTATAGGTAATCATTAGTCTTTGTTTAATTTTTCCTTTTTTAAAATATAAGTAAACACAAACACTTTGATTTTTATTTTCCTTCGCGGATAAAAGGTAACAGCTTATTTACACTGTTCTTTTTCACTCCATGGCAGTGTATACACCTCCTTTACAACTGCATAATACTCAGCTGCATAGTACTTCATCGTGTAAATGTACTGTGGTTTAATCAGACATCTTCTATAGATAGACATTTAGTTTGCTTCCATTCTTTTGCTATTACAAATAGTATTTTGCCAGTATATCTTTTGGAATGCATTTCTGGAAGTGAGATTGTGGGCAGAGTATTAATGCAGACACAGTTTTGCTAGCTATTGCCAACTTTCCCTCCATAGAGGTTGTAACAGTTTCTGTTCTCGTTAGTACTGTATGAGAATCCTTGTTTCCTTACAACTTTGTCAATAGAGTATGTCAGACTTTTGGATTTCTGCTGATTTGATAGTCAAGAAATAATTATATTGGTGTAGTCTTAACTAGTAGTTTTCTTGTGAGATTAAACATCTTTTCACTTCCACGTTTTGAATTACCATATTTATGCTCATTTCTTAAGGAGGATTTCTTGGTTATTACTGCTGCTACTATCTAAAGAATTACTCTCTGCTTTTTCCCCCCCAGCCCCAGGGGTTGTATTAATCACTCAAGAAACAGCATAACCAGGCATGCACGATTAAATTAAAAGGACCATTTACCTATTTCTTATATTCAAAGAAGTCACAATTCAATTTGTGAAAAAGGTTTTCATGAAGATCATCATGGTTCAGTGAAATAAATGCTAATGAGATAAATGCCAAGCTCTGGGAGGACTGATCCTGGGGTGGAGTGACTTGAGTACCTGGAAGATACAGAGATCATTGGCTAGCATATGAGGTAGGCTTTGGATTAAGTCTTTAAGGAAGAGGGAGGAGATTGCTAGGCTGACCCTGCCTGGAAGAGTATTCCTGCTAGAGGAAGGAATGCCACATATGGTGTGTGAGGACTCATAGGTCACCCAGCTTGGTGAGCATTGATTTTGCAGCTGGACCATCTAGACTTGCTTAGTCTCCATTTGTTGACCCTAAACCCACTTCTAAAGTAAGTTAACCACAGCAATGCCAGATGAAAAATTTTATTAAAACATTCATATTTCTATTTTCTTAATTTTCCTCTTGTGACACACATTCCCTCATGATCATATTTCTGCTCCTTATATTTTCAGTAAACTTGGGAGAGAACCCTGGGAAATAGTGATTTCATTCCTTCTCATTTTATTGTTGAGCAAGCCTAGAGCCTTTATTTTTTGTCTGTGCGGACTTTTATCCTTACTACTTGCTTTTTGCTGAGTTCGAGGTTCTTTATGCAGTAGTGTGTTTCATTTGGCTAAGGCAGAAGGATCTGGCAAGGTGAAGGTGGTTGTGAGAAAGTTGATGAGGTTAGAAAGGTAGGCAGGCACTAGGCTAGATGGGCAGAGCCTTTTATTTCGAGGAATTTGCACTTTATCTTCTATTTAGTGGAGAGCCTCTAAAAAGTCCGGAATGGGTAGGGATAGATGATAGGAGTTAGAGGAGGGAAATGACAAAGTTAGTTATTCATTTTTGAAAGATAACTTTGATGACTATTGAGGAAGATGGATTGGAGAAGGTACTGAATGGACAGAGAGCATTGGTCCCCAGACTAGCAGCAGCAGCATCACCTGAGAACTTGTTAGAAATACAGATTCCCAGGCCTTACCCGAAACCTATTGAATCAGAAACTTTGGGGATGAGGCACAGCAATCTGTGTTTTATTTGATTCTGATGCATGTCAAAGTTTGAAACTAGGGATATCAGGGCCAAAAAGGTTACATTACAATTTGCAAATACTTTTCACATTATGTTGTTGATTTTTGTCGAGATGTTTATTAAGTTTTTTTTAATATTCACAAGAGAAATTGAATACGTATCTAGGATTTTGTGATTTAGTTATTTATATGAAGGCCTAATATTAACAGATTGGAAAAGCTGAGATAGTGTGATGACATACTTGGGAAAGGGGAGACAGTCTAAGATCATGTGGAAAAATATTGGAGTAGAATAAAACAAGTAAGAGGTACTTAATCTTGAATGCTCTAAATGTTGCTTTTGCATGACATTAATTTGTAATGTGGTACTTAAATCTGCAGTAAGGAAAACTGAAGATATTAAAAAGGTGAACATGAACTCTTTGTGGAGCCTAAAGGAAAGGATGGTGGGTTTACCCAAGATTTGCTAAGATGCTCTTGTGCAATCAGTTCCACAGCTATTAAGAGGTGGTCTGCTTTCTCTACTTTCAGTCTTTATATAGCAACTGATTTGCATCTAACCCAGTTTTCATTTGTTTTTCTTTGAGGATGTTAGGGCTGTGGGTTATAATTTCAACTTTGTTGGAATGAGACTGAGTAAATCTCATAATCTTCATTTTCCTCCGTTAGCTTTGCTGGGTGACCAAAAGTACAGATAAAGCAAACACTTTGTAAATAGAGGATAAGTAATCTTTTTTCTCTTTTGAATTCTGTTCCAGGACCCATCAGTTACACAAGTGACAAGAACTGCCCCACCAGGACTCGATGAATATAACCCATTCTCAGATTCTAGAACAGTAAGGCCTTTCGAAATCGGACTATTTTTAAATGTTAACAGTAAAATTAAATAAGAATTGTATATCAATTATGGTTTCTTTTAGTTGGTTAAACTTATGTAAAATGAACTGTTAGTGTTTTATTTAGAATTTAGCAAATTAATTTTTTTAAAATAGGAAGGAATATCAATAGTAATTGAAAATTACCTTGATGGTCCTACTGTAATACTGCAAATTTTCTTTTATGCCACACAAATTAAATTGCTAATAATTCCTCTAATATGTAAATCTTACTTTGTTAATTTACATAGGAGAGAGAAGTGTTTTTTGGTGTGTATGTTGTCTTCATGGTAATATGGGGTGATATTTTCTTACTCTGAGAGACCTATGTATAGAACTGTACATGAATATTTGTGTGATTGTCATTTGGATTAGGTTATATTCTGAATAGTACCAGCATTCTGCTTTAATAGACTAGAACCTCTAGAACTTTACCTAGCGTGGGAACATATTCTTCTCTTCAAAATTTAGTCTTGAATTATAAACATAGGAGTATGAGGAAAAAAAATCCTTGTAAATAGGGGTTCTCTATCTTAGATGCGTATTAGAAGCACCAGGGGAGCTTTATTACACTATCCACTAGGACCCTAATCTCTTATAGTTGGGTACCTTTTTGTTTGTTTTTGTCTTAGCCCTTGTGATGGTTTTACTGTGAACCAGTTTTGAGAACTGTTGAGGTAGGTTCTGTTGAGAAATTTCTCTGGCAAATGATTTTGTCTCCTGTGTTTGAGTCTTTAGCTTATGTATCATACTCATGAGGTCCCTAATTTTAAACATCGTTTGCTCCTGAAATGTTAGTCATCGTCTTAAAGATATTGAAGTTCTTCAACTATATGCTCGGATGGTATATATCAGTGTAATAATCTTTACTTGAACACCTCTTCCTATTGTATGTTTTTCATAGTATGTTTTTCATAGTCTAGGAAATATTCGAAAAGGTTATGTAGCTTTTTGCTTGGAAATTTCTTCAAGGTGTATTAAATTAACT